TCCCCGCGGTCTGCGCGTGGGGAGGCGGGGCACGCTTTGCTTCTCGGTGCACGCTCCTGTCACGTAGCCGGCGGAGCAGCAGGAGTCAGCCAAGTAGGCTGAGCCTGGGTCGTGGTGGCAGAAAAGCACATGCACGGGCCGTGTTCGGTACAGTTCCAGGCTGCTGTCACCGGGCGTGCAGGGGCGTCCAGTGGAGGTGGAGGGAAAGGTGGGGTGAGGCTGAGAGTACTGGCAGGGAGGTGCAGATTGCTTCGTGTGCGATGAGGACATCAGATGTGTTGAAGCAGGAGAGAAAAATCCCTGTTTCAGAAAGTCACACTGTTGGCCAGAGGCGAATAGAGGGAAGTAGGCTGGGGCTGGAAGGTGAGATTGAGGCTTTAGTGCAACTGAGGTTGGCAGCGTGGGACCTGCGGGTCTGAGCTGGTGGTGGTGGGGATGAAAAGAAAGGCAAAGTGGAGAAATTTGGAAGCAGAATCAGTAACACTCCCTGGAGTGGACCTGGGAAGTAAGGGAGAAGGGGATTCCAAGATGACTGGGATTGACCTGATCAACGACAAGAGAAGCAGCTCCATAAACTGAAGTATGTAGTTTAATAAAGTAGGTTTGGAAAAGGGATAGTAGTTCTATTTAAAAAAAGAAATTGCAAAGATGGTTTGTCAAATCTATTTTTACATGAAACACAGGAGAAACGTTGCCAGTCAACACAAGTTTAACCATGCAAAAAGTCTAAAAACAGAAATTTTTTTTTGTCCAAACCAGTTTTCTTTCCCTTGTTGCTTTTTTAAAATTCCACATACACCCACTGCTACCTTTGGTCTTGGTTACAGTAGAAATGGCAAGGAGGGAGAGGATTGGTTAAAACAACTCCGTCAGCAGCTTGCTTTCCTTTTTTCCCAACCAGTAATTTGTAGCTGTGAGAGATCACAGCACTCCATGCTTTGGGAGACTTGATAAAACAAGGCCAACACTTCCTCACCTTTGTCAAGCTGCAAATGACATTGAGTGATTTACAGTACTTTATTTTCAGATCCTTGGAAGTGTTCTCTGGCAGCCTCATCACCTCCAAGACCAGCTATTCCAGATATGGCTACTGTACACAGCAGCAGTAGTGTCCACCTAACCTGTTACTTGTGGGAATTTTCAGATTTGTGGGTATGCAGCCCACAGGAAATTGAAGCCTGGTTCTCTGAGTGCCCTACTTTCTTACCTTTGCCTCCCTCTGGTATGGGCAAGCCCTGCATCTGCTTGGCTGCATGACCCTTGTTGCCAACTCACACCAACACTGCTGCTCTCACAACACTAAAGGTCACTGCATCAGCCCTGCATTACTCTAGCTTGCGTCAGGAAGCCACTGTAAGAGACCCTCACCCTGGTGATACTGGGCATTGATACTCAGTGACTTCATACTCAATTACATCCCCAGCCCTTTAGTTATTTTTCATTGTGATCCAGGGTCTCACTCAGTTGATCAGACTGATTTCAAACTTGCAAGCCTGACACATATTTATTTATTTTTAGTACTGGCAGTGGAATTCGCTCGGGTCCTTGCCCTTGTGAGGCAGGCACCGGAACCACTGAGCTAAATCCCTGGCCCTTAATTCTTTTTAAATCCCTTTCCTCTCCCATCCCCTCTTTCCATATACTGGTTCCCTTCCTATTTGTAAAAGATCTATCTCCCTGTTTCCTTTTATCTATCTTTTATTTTGCTTTTTATTTATGTTTTGAGCTTGTCATATAAGAGAAACTATACAATATTTAAGCTTGTGTATCTGAATGTTTCACTTAATATTATGGTTTTTAAGGTGCATCTGTTTTTCTACACATGACACAAATTTGTTCTTCCTTATAGGAAGGTAGTATTATATGCATATTAAGTGTCATATATTCTTTATCTATTAATAGATATATATTCCAAGATTTAGGTATTATGAATTGGGTTGCTATAAGTATGGGTATACATGTAACACTATAATATGATGTCTTTAGCACTTTTGGGAAGATATCTAGAAGAGCAATAGCTGGGTCAAGTGGGATTTATAATATTTTTAGTTTTTTGAGTAATCTCCGTACTGATTTCCATAGTGGCTGTACCTTCCCACAAGCAATGTAGAACTGTTCCTCTTTTCCCCACAGCCTTGTTAGCATTCATTATTATTTGATTTCTTGATGATGGCCATTCTTTGTGGAGTAAAATCAAATTTCAGTGTAGTTTTAATTTATATTTTTCATATGGCCAGAGATATTGTACAATTTTTATGTGTTTGTTGGCTTTTTATACTTCTACTTCCGATAAGTGTCTATTCATTTGAGTTGCCCAGTTTTTGATTGGCTTATTTTTTAATTTATGTATTAGTTCTTTATACAGTCTATATAGGAATCCCCTGAGGTGGAACTGGCAAAACTTTTTTCTGATTCTATAGGTTGTTGCTTCTGTTGCTTGTTTCCTTTGCTATACAGAAGTTAAAAAATTTAATATAATCCCACTTGTTGATTCTTGATGTTATTTCTTGTGCATTAGGATTCTGTTCAGAAAATCCTTGCCTATGCCTATGTCTTCAGAGTTTTACCTATTTTATCTTCTAAGAAGTTAAGTTTTTCTGTTTTATTATTTAGGTCTTTGATCCATTTTGATTTTAGTTTAGTACATAGTAAGAGAATATGTGTCTAGCTTCAGTCTTCTGCATGTGTATAGCCAGTTTTTGTAGCACCATTTACTAAAGAGGCTATCTTTCCTCCAGCATATGGTTTGGCCCCTTTGTCAGAGATCAGGTGTCTGCTGTGGTCTGAGGTTGTTTCTGCATCCTTCATTCTGTTCCACTGATTCACTTTTTTTTTTTTTAAATACCGGAACTGTGCTATTTTATCACCATAACTTTGCAATATCATTTGAAATCCAGAATTGTGATGCCTTCTGCTTTGCTCTTGTTACCCAGGACTGCTTTTGCTGTTCTGGGTCTCTTCTGGCTTTATGGCAATATTAGGATTGTTTCCTCTAGTTTTGTGAGGAACACTTTTGATATATTGGTTGGGATTATGTTAAATTTATATATCAGTTTTAGAAGTATGGACATTTTGACATTGTTGGTTCTGTCTATCCAGGTACAGGCGCTATCTTTCCATTTTCTGATGTCCTTTTCCATCTCCTCGATCAGAGAATTTCTTTCCTTTCTATTTAATCGTTTTGTACAGTTCAGATCTCTGGTGTTTACTTTCCTCTGTATTGGTACCCCTTGGGTTTGCTTTGGGAGAGTTGGGAGACTTTGGAAGGGTTCTCTTACCTTATTTATTTATTTTTTTGGCTGAGAGCTGAAGTCAAATAGAGTGAAGAGAATGTATTATTGATAGGAATATTTGTTTAGTTAGGTTCTGTTTTTGAGTGGTATGTTCCTGGCTTTATTTGTCAAGAAGTTCTTTTTACTACTTCAGTCTATTCAATTTAATTGTGTTGGACCCTGTCACTGTGTTGTAAGGTGAACATTTCTGTTGGTTATAACAGTGTCAACACATCCAAGCATACATCAATCACAGACATTGAAACTTGCTTTGATAGTTTTATTTTTTTGTTAATACCCCTTACAGACTATTTTATCCTGCTATTTCTGGTTCATCTGGAATGTGAGGGGTAGAGGGAATAAGAAAGGAGGAGAAAAATGAAGGGGAAATATCAGTGGAAAAGGGAAGAGATAAGAGAAATGTCAATAGGTAGATAATAAACAGGAGGCCAGAAACTATTGGAATTCGTTTTATACATAAAGGACTAGTATTGAGGGGGGTATGGGAGTATTTGTGTGGGCAGGTGAGGTATGCCAATGAGTGAAGTGTATTTAGAGAACAAAGGAGACTGTGAGGTTGTCAAAACCTGTTCATATATTTGTAGGGCGTTTTGTTTGGATCTTCGAAGCCCAATTTTGTTAAGGATTACCCTAACACTAGTTAATTCTTTTCCTCTAATGCACTCATAAAGGCCTCAATAACGTCATTATTTATGCTTATTTATGTTATTAGGTGGGCACAAGTAGGGGGAAATCAAGGAGGCAAAATAATGAGAAAGAGAGGAGAAAAAAATAGGTAGGGAAGAGAAAATAAATTG